AGATCTGGGAGATAGCAAGGCGATCCTTTACCTGTCTTATGCCCCCTGCCCAGAACGTTACGGCTCGGGATAATTAAAACATCTACCGGTGTCAGGAGGTTTTCCCACTGGATTTTAAAATTCATCCACGATCCATGGATGTAGGAAGCGAGGGCGTTACGCGGGTGTGAGAGAGAGAAGAGCATTGTAGGGGAGAGCTGGGTATAAGAGAGTGAGAGAGGAGGAGGAGGAGTGGCGAAGTGGACTCTCTCGGCAGTCCTTCAAATCAGTGACGTTGTCAGGCTCAGCCAATTGCGAGCCATCGATACAGTTGAGTGTGAAGTGATTCGGCATTAATACCGGATTTGTTTGAATTCGTCGACCGCTTTAATAGAATCACTTGAACTTTGCAAGACATTTTAATTTCTTAGCGGTGAGTGACAGCCTTTGGTGTTTGCTGCTAGCGGAGTGTTTACACACTGTGGCTATACATCTAGTTGCATAAACCCGAGCACGATCTATGCCGGGTGTGCCGAGGCCAGTTCAAGGAGGAGGAGGGGGATATAGCGGATTACTGGATTGGATACATTGTCACACTTGTACAAGTGTCGTCTGCTCCCTCAAGCCGGATGGATTGCATCTCACCACCGAATGAAACCAAACGCTAAAAGGTGAGATCTTACCCCTAGTCCACATCAGAGCTCATTCTCTCCAAAGGATTTCAAACTTTTCATGATTTTCGATCGTGTCAACTTAATTAACATGTCGTCTGCCCCTGGGGTGTAATGGTGGTTCTATCGTTTGGCTCTGTCAAACATTCTGCGAATATGTTCAACGATCGCTGAGAGGATCACTGATCGGAGGTGTTCCCCGGACGTAGATTGTTGCTACCAGGTTGGACTGTGTGTAAGGAACACCTCCTGGTTCCGTATCACCAACGAGATAGAGCTACCAGCCCATGTGTCATGGGTTATGACAGACGGGTGGATCACGCAATGTGTCCGGGGGTTCGCGAATACCTCGTTCATGGAAAAGTGAAATTGATTTGTCCGAGAATTGATCTGTCTGCAGTTGTCACAGATGCCACCGGCGACTTGAAAGTTTTGTTGACGAATGATACACTTAATTTCTCCGCACTAGACAAGTCACACAATGACGACAGTATTATTGTCGTTCTTTACTGCAGTTACCTAACCATACAATCATGTATTTCATTAAAAGACTATGTCACGTCAGACATATTTTAAAATGATTGTTAACAAGTTGTAGCAGTTTTTTACTGGCTAAAAGGCACTTTCTACTGAACTATCTTCATGAACCGTTGAATTTTCGAATTAAGATAGACGTGAAAACTAAAACTTTACTACCCCATGCACCTTACTTAAATGAAAATTAATTAATTAATTAAATCTGAAAATAATTATATGTTCCCATGACCGATGCTTACCTATACAACAAGATACACAGGCAAAACTTTACATGTGTGAAATGTTTTTGAAAATGTCACTAGTCATCATTTATTGCGTCTGTAGTAAATATGTCGCCATGTCAGGAATGGGGACGAGAGACAGTCATGTCGCATGGGTATGGGGTACTATACTACAAATTGTCAGATGAAGGGGGGGCGGGGGAAGGTAGGTCCCCCCGGAGCTACAATTAGGGGGTGTTTAGCAACACTGTATCTGTCCGCTGTCACGAGCGTTCACAACATGGCACAAGCAGACGATAGCGAGCAGACGACAATGAGAGTTGTCGTCTGCTGTCCTGATTTCTTAGAAATCGCGTTTGTTACCATTTGTAGGCTGGTGTGTATATTGATTTGGTTGGGGTAGCTTTTCCTGTGATTATAGGTAAAGGAAGTCAATCAATCCTCCAGAATATTGTGTCCATTTGTCACCACCACCTTGTTTAATCTACCGACATAAATTCGCATGTTTTCACCAATTATATGTTGTTATTTGAATCATGGGGAAGACATTCTAACTAAATATGTCAAAACAAAGCCAACATACCCATAATGCCCAGGTATTTGAATTAATTCACAAGATCTTCATACAAGTATATATCCGACATGACCGACTAGAGCTAAATACGTGTATGTATATGAATTAACCGACCCGAGCTAAATACATGTATAGGTATTTTGGTTTTGTTCGTATAGTGACTTTAAATCACCTAGGTTCATTTCACTAATACACAAGCTCTTGTGTAAAGATTAACCTACATGTACTTCTGACCATTTAATTTCTAGCTACCTTTCTTTGGATAAGAAGAGATAACATTTTTGGACGACGGATATTTTCTTACTGTAAATCCCGACATGATAACAGTGAACATGGCGTCGAACCATATGGTGTCTGTGCAAAATCCATTATATTCTCCAAACCAAGGACTATCGTGTTTAAGAGCCAACAAAAGCAGATAATGTACACAAGTTGCATTCCAAAAAAGTGTGATTTTGTAAGCAAATTCATACCCACTAAAACGTCAGGCTTTCTAGAATATTATCAACTTTGTGAAGAAGGGACACGCACGAGATCCTGTGCTACTCGGGAACTGGATGTCAGCTTGTAGGCAAATTCATATTCACTAAAACTTTAATCCAGAAGCCATTCTTCTGGAAACGAGTCTGTTCCGATAACAAAGCCGTTACCTTCGGTCACAGTCACCTTGTTTGGGGGACTGTTTCCCCATGCGCTTTACAGACACCCCTTGGGGTGCTTTTGTAGCCCCTTGGGAGAACAGAGCCGGTGTTACAGACTGAAGTCGTTGCCAGCCACCCCTGCCAATCTCCATTAGAATTAAAACCTGATTGAAAAATGTCACTGTTTTTCTATTTTTGTTTCTCAATAAGATGGTTGTGTTCATCGCAAGTAATTAATCACTTAATTTCTATCCTTTGTTGTGCTTCTAACATAGGCTCGTTAAAGTTATTTAGTCCGGAACTATGAATATGGAAAATGTTTATTTTATGAAAACAAAACCAATCTAGATATATATATATATTATATATTATATATATATACAAACAAAGCAAGTCTATCCAGCTCTAGGTCTATTCCTCAGCATCAGGAAAAGTATTTGTTTTAATTTTTTGAGGAGATAAGTGTATTGTGTAATATAAGATTTCATAAACTAAATGTTTGTCTGAGAGATATTCTTCTTATTACGTTTTAGAATTAACTTCTAGTTGTCGGTTTTGGTTATCATTTGATTAATCTGAGTTGGTCAACTGTTTCACTGATTCACTGTACCACCTACAGTAGAGTCATTTACTGGCAAGTGGCAACAGATCGTACAGTGCCATTGTCGTCATATATTATCTCTGAATCGTCATATATTACCAACACAAAGCGTGGTCTTACTGAGCTCTTCTGTGTGTGTTGGAGGGGATAGTATGTGCCCGGACTTACAAACAATTAGTTTCTGTTACGGCTTTTCGGGTGGCAATTTGGTGTAATTTTAAGTGACATATATCTCCCAAGCAAACAAGCAGGGTAGTCAATATTTATTTTGTGGTGCGGATTGAAGCAACCGAGGAATCGAGCCGTATGACTGCCTATAGCTTATCTCATACGAGTGGATTGTCCTACCATAGGGGTGGATTGTCTATCACATTTATAACCCAGAGACGATGTCTGCGTTATCAGTTCATGCACGTAGCATGTTGGTAAATAGTGCGTCTCTAAATAAAAAATAATCGGATAGACAAAAACTTTTTGTGTCGTCTGCTAATGTGGAAAATGTAGAGGCAAGGTGGTGGGAATGATATCCCTTTCCTTGTGTCTGCGTATTGAACTTCACTGTATCCCTTTATTTCCCCAAACAGGGCCAAGTGGCTCGTTTTTCTTACAAGATGATGCAGAGAATTGATCGGACAGATTATGCGTGCTTTAATCTTGTTACCGCTGTCACTTTCGCTGTCAACGTCCGCGAGGGGAAGTAGTCCCTCGGTAGCGTGTGTTTATGTCCATTTCCCATTTAGTTTCCCTTGCCCCATCAACAAAGGGCGCTGTTGATTGTCAGCATGTTTCGCAGATCATATTTCGCGCCACGCATTAGACACGACGTTTGGGAAGAAAGGTTTCAAAAGTTCGTCTGCTCTCTGCCACTGAGCACCAGACGGTATCTTTCTGGGGAGATACTTCACACTTCAGTGTGTCGACTTGGGACATGCTTCATGGCCGTGATAGCAGACGACTCTCGCTCACCGTTACCCCAAGCCTGGTACGGCAACCCAACCCCGATCAGAAGGCAAAAAATATTCGCGGTGTTTCATTCTATCAGCTCGGCTATCGTCTGCCCCTGCCTCTGACAAGCAGACAAATTATTTCTTCTAGGTGAGACTTTTCACTGCGAGCGTTACACGCCCCCAGGGGGGGATACAGTATACCGAAATAGAGGGTCTCAACCGCCCGCCACAACATCAGGAAATGGTCGGCAAGTTTCTCCTAACTTTGCGTACATACACTGGCGAACTTGAGATTGGTCCGACGTTACATAAAGTAATATTTAACCCCAGATGTATACGCGATGGCATTACATACGTGCTTGCCGATAATATCGGCCATAACATCCGCCCTTCTCACCTCGGCGCGGCCCCTCCACGAGTGATGCCGAGCGTCAGAGGATCAAAACATGGCTGCTTTGTTTCTTTAGTCAGTTTTTTTTCAGTTGATCTGGGTTCAATACCACGGCAGAGTGACTGCGCAGCGAAATGGAACGAGCACTTCCCGTGCACCTCTGCTCTACCCCCTTTAATGACACAAACATGTGCCTCTGACTGCCGTCTAGTATTTCCCGTTATGTTGAGGCGTCCCACTTGGGGTTGGTTCGAGAACGGCACCGCACATTCAAGGAGGTATGTAAATAGCAGAGCCAGATTGTTTCTCGCTTGCTCGCCTGCCATGTGCGTTCAAGATGGAGTTGCCAACACGGGGCCTAATTAGCACCAGCGCAAATCCAAACCATCAGCATTGCCACACCTCGGTACTGGCTTTGCTGATCCATAAAGCTACCTCTCGGCTTGATGGCTGGCAGAGTCCTGAGCTGGACCATTGGGCAGAGGCGGCAGTACCCCCAAACCCACGTGCAGGCATCGGAACTGGCCCTGGGATCACACTCCCCTCTCTGGTACACAACTCGGATCGGGTCTGGAATATCTATCTGAAAGAGAGTAAGGCAGATAAGGAAAGCAACACCTTTCAGTGTGATGTGAAGGAAACGGAGCGGTGTGTGAGAGAGGCGGAACTGCTGGAACACATGTCAGACAGATTCTTCCCGCTACCGCGTTTTCTTGTGAAAATAAAGCTCGCATAGTTTACCATGTCTGCCACCAATTAATTAAAGCCTTCCCGGCACCGCTGGTGAAGAGAAATCGCGTCTTGGAGTGCCAGTAGAAGATCCGTCCCTCACTCCGCCTTCAAATTGAAAGATCGATAGAGCTGACTCTACTATGGTGGCTCGTTGAGCACCGAGCTATCATTCCGTCACTCGTCTGAGCCGACCGACGTCCCTAAAGTTGAAGGGGGAGACTCTCCCGGTGTCGTCTGCTACAGCGTGTCGTCTGCTACTGCCTTGTGGACAGCACCACGACAAGCAATGCTGGAACCGTGAAACTGCGCCATGGGGACCCCTAGCAGTTTAGACGTGGGGAAATGATAAAAGTTCCCTATCTAACGCGGTAAGACTCTATACTTGTTTCCTTTATCTGGTGCTCATGTAACTCTAACGCATTACTAAGTGTCTTCTGTATCAGGGTTCCGTTTGCATCTTTAAGGTGCCCTGTCTTTATGGGGTATAGTCCCACGAATTCTCCTGTTACTCCTCTGCTTCACAATCGCTGCATGCTAAAACGAAGCCGACAGTATATCAAAAGCATTGTAAATAACTCAATGAGATCGTAAGTGTGAACATCTCTACCTGTTTGAGTCGACTCTCACCTCTCACTGGAGGTGTGCGTTCACCAGTGACTCACGCCAACCCACTGCAGCTTCTGTTTGATACAAGCTAGACTATACTGCACAGGAAGAAAATTGGAGTTGACAAGCCGGTGTGATTAGTATAGTATTCTGCAGTCTCATATGCGCTTCTTATTTTGTGAATGAGTGAAAGGGCTGTCACCTCTCTTCTACAAAATCGCCTATCAGATCTAGGAATGTTAGCACTCCACGATCATAACCACAGTGAACCGAGGAGCCGAGAGGATGTGTTTATGATAGGGATAGCATCGAGTTGCCTTGGAGGAACTTACGGAATGAATGAGCCGCGCTTTGTAAATTATGCCGCTATAAAATTAAAAAAAATATTGCAAATACGTGATAAGGATCAAATTAAAGAGCCTTTGCTAGAAATTACTCGAAAAACGTGGAATTAAGTTTAGTAACTTGATTGTAAATGTACGCCATTTGAGTTGCACTTATATTGAATATTCCATCACTCTCTGTGATAGCTTCCATTCATTTTCTATAATGCGTTGAATATAAAACATTATTTCCTAGCTTATCCATGGCTTCATGTGATATAACAGAATAATCCCCTGTCGGTGGTGAAAGAGGGAAAAGGCGACCTGAGCACGCGTTAATCTCTAACGTCGTCTGCTAAGAGCTGTCGTCTGCTCGCCAACATTGTTGTGACGTAGCGAGATTCGATCGAAGAGAGTAGTCTGTCCTTGTTTGTCAGCATCACCTCCAAGGAAAACTAATTTGATCAACATTTAAAATACGTAACCCTTTGGCCCAGCGCCCTTACAAAACGAGTGTAGCCGGAGCTTCCCTGTCGTGGTTCTTCGTGCTTCCTCGTTCGGTTTGCGCCATCTCTCTCACGCACTTCTCGCGCTTCATTCACAAACACGAGCTGCAGACAATAACCACACGGTCGGAGAATGTGCAATGCAATTGTGTTTATTTACAGATATGATGAGTTATTCAACACGATCGTATTGCATAAGTAACCATTCATTCGAGTTGGTTTGTTGACGCCTATTGTGTCAGATGGGGTACCCTTAATGACCGAAACATTAATATTTCTCAAAATGTTTTTGAACATTGAGATTGATTTCATGAATGGTTTTAAATCTCGTTTTTTTTTCACGAAATTGAAAATGTTATAGATTGTGACCTGTTTTGTTATCGAATAAATATCGATATCTAGGAACGTGTAGGGAAGTGAAAAACTGAAGATGGTTTTTATGCGGATAAATAAAAAGCGAAATTGCGAAACAGATAAATTACGTACAGTGTAGATCTGTATATATACACACCGTATTTGGGTATGCGGTAGAATAAATGTGTACACTCGACCATGAGGGGTTTTACATAGAGTGGCGATGCGTGTGAAACATACGATTATGCAACACAAATTTGAAACTCATTTCTGACCATCCTTGGTGTTGTTTATGACCATGGTGATATCATCGGCTTCGTTATTCGAGACAGATTGGGTTTTGTAGGACGGAAGCAATAGGCAGCGAACAAACTGGCATGGGTCGTGACAGTGTGGAAGCCTCGCACTGTAACAAATGCACAGGCCGAGTTTTAAAAAAAACCATAGCAGTGTGTTGTAGAATATGGAGGAGGCTATATTATTGATTTTAGCAAATCTCAAGCTTTTGGTGTCAGAGGGCGAGTCGAACCCTTGAATTTGACAGACTCAGCCCGGAGAAACACACCATCGCGGTGCGAAGGCCAGGCCATTTTTTCGTGCGAGCCATTGTTGTTTGGGGAAATATTCGCTCCTTGCTGTTAAAATTTTAATGAAGCTTTTTGCAGCGTATGTTGAGTTTAAACAGAATGCTTCTTTCAATGACGGTTGTGTTGGGGGATCCGATTTCACATTTTGATTGAATGTTTTTGCATCATACTTGAAATATATTAACAAATGATATTTAACATGTGTAAGATTCTTCGGATTTCATGTGATGTATTGAAGGTAAATGGTCTTGTTCGAACCGTGTGAGCTAAAAGCATATCTCTAAGAATTAATGATTTCAGTATGGATCATACACAGGTTTTTTCTGTTGGTATTAATTTCGATTGCTGTTTGTTAACTTTCGTTATCAACTTTTTAGTCTCTTAGATCGCACGTTAATAGGCTTATATGATATATATTTAAGCCTCCATCAGTTAAAACCACACCGTTTTTCCATTACTGAAGCCTGCATGTTTCTCCTTACAGTAAATCGCCTGTCTTGATCTTATCCAAACAAAAATACCCCTTATTAATCATGTTCACATCCGAGATATCAGAAGCACGGCTCGAGAAGCGCCGAATGTATACGATAACCGGACGAGCTTCCACCAGCGGAGTAGCAAGAATGAAAGTTGATTGAAAAAGTGCTTTCCACGTTTTTAGCCGTCAGTGCAAAATTATAGTAGGTCTAACGTCTTGGTCGATAGTTCGCCAAGACTCGGTTGTATTACGTGGGCAACAACAATGAAGGAAAGCTCTAAACAAACAGATATGCGAGCTGAGTGACAGAGATAGACCACGTTCTTTACATCGGGGCTGGTGTGACATAGAATATGGTTGACTTCATACTAGGTAACCAGCCCCACCGGTGATGCAAGTGTCTTTGGGTTGAAAATCCGGCGTGTATTAATAAATAATAATAAAAACCAATGTACGTGTTTATTAAGCTCTACATCACTCGTTTTACTTTGTATAGATAATGAAAGCGATATCATTAATTGTTATTTGACTTTAATTAATGACTTTGCGCTCTCTCAGGGTGACATTTGAATAACTGCATGGTTAACTGCAGTTATATACTTCTCAAAATAAGTTAAAGAACACCGAATTTTTCATATTACAGTAGAACATGGATATAACGAACTACAGGGGACCAGAAAAATCAGTTCGTCATATCCGTTGTTCGTTATATACGTTTTCGCTCGGAAATGTCCGCCACCTTGGATTAAACAAAACACAATACAGAGTTCGTTATATACGTAAATTTTATATGATATTATACGGGAGATAAATCGGGGATTGTTTAACAGTTCGTTGTATCCATTTGTTCGCTATATCCGTGTTCGCTATATCCGTGTTCTACTGTACTATATTTAATCTGTCATGGCATGACAGATTAACTACAGTAATATGGAAGAATCGGGTGTTCTTTGCATTCTTTTGAGTGACAGATTAGCAACAGTAATGTTTAACAATAGGGTGGTCTTTAACTTCTTTTGAGTAGTATATAATCAGATTGTTTGTGTTGGTTAGGACGGCTGGAGATGTCCGAGAATTGCTATCCGAACCGATTGTCCCTCATATTACTAGGTCTCCCTGTCATTGATCCCAATTGCGTGGATCGATGCTCATGATGTCACTCACTGGATTATCTGGTCCAGACTCGAGTATTTACGGACCGCCGTCATGTAGCTGGAATATTGCTGAGTGTGGCGTTAAAAAAAACAAAAACAAAAAAACAAACTAGGTCTCCCGAAATTAGCAGAGCCATTGCCTCGTCACAATTTATCGCCGTCGTCTATGCTAGCGATAGAAACTAAGTCTCAGTCCACTAGTCCTTGTAATGATAACATATAGAAAGATTCTTAAAAGGGGTATATTTCTACTAGTCCTCGGGACATCTTTACTATTGGGCAGTTTGGCCAGGACTATAGAACTAGTGCCAATTTCTAACGCTATATGAATATATATATCAATGTATTGCAGCTCAATTGCTGTGGTAGTGGTATGTTGCATAACGTCAAGTCGTGCCAAGGATTATCATGCCAAGATGTCGTCCTCTATAGGTTGTCGATATCCCAGTGGTTTAAGATAAAGAGTTTGAACAAACAGCTTTGTAGAACCACAACTTTCTCATTAAGGCGATAATAAGTTGTGCTGTGGTCAACTGTCGAGTTCAAGCCCTGCTAACCAAATACTGGTTATGCAGATTCAACTTGGTATTAAGTCTAAATCAACACTTCTTTGAGTTAACTACCTAATTACGACGCTATTTCTGTTGCCCTTTAACCTCTGACCTCGTGATGGGGTTTTCGTGACATATATTTTTAACGACAGAAATTCAGTGAATCTGACAGATCGGGCTTCTTGCAAATATTTCGAAAAGAAATTTTCCAGTTTTCAGAATTTGGCCTCCATGATGTTTTTGGGCGAATGGTACACCAGGGGAAGTAACTCTAGATAGTGTTATGAGAACAGCTATAGTATTTGTTGGGGTCAGTAAGATTTTGTTTGTATTGTAAAAAAAAAGTAGATTGCAAGTTGGGTGTTGTCCGCGAATTTAAAAAAGAAGATAAATATTAATTATTCGATCGTCTTTTATTTAAGTGTTCGTTGAGAATTTACTTTGGACGTTGCGTGCTGCGTATTGATTAATATTGTACTGATATTTCGCCCGCAATGCAAGGCAATGACATTTTGTCGCATGTACATGCTATATAAACATTTGATTTGGTAAAGGCAGGGTTTAAACTTGTTACTGCGATGTGAAATGTTTGTCAGTGCTCACTGTGCCGTTGTTTCGCATCTGCAGGCCTTGTAGGTCCAGAGAAATAAGCCTCTCACTTGTCATCGCTTTATTTCATCACACCGATAAAAACACACACTAACATCCCTGCGGCAGAAGATTACACAAGAAATCCACATTGTGCATTCTGGAGCACCGGTGTTGCAGATTTAGCAAATTTAAAAAGCGTCATCTCAAGCTCGGGACAA